TTAAAGGGCCAGATAGTAAACATTATAGATTTTGTAGACTGTGTGATCTCTGTCACAATTTAATTCTGCCGTTTTAGTGTTAAAGCAGCCATAGACAACACACAAATGAATGGATCTAGTTGTGTTCCAATAAAAGTTTAATTATAAAAACAGGCTGCACACCATATTTTCCCTGAGGGATTTAGTTCGTTGATCCAAGCTAAGAAGGTCAGGGGTAGAAGAGTTTGAAATCATGAAGTCCTAAGGGTTTGTGCTCATTTTTCCTAAAAATCGGAGTGAAAACATTTGGCCTTACTTTCTATGGGAGGCAGAATAATACTCTCCACCCCCCGAAGATGCCCATGTCCTAGTCCCCAGAACCTGCGTATATATTACCTTAGCCGGCAAAAGGAACTGTGGTTAAATTAAGGACGTTGAAATGGAGAGATTATTCTGGAATATCTGAGTGGGCTTGATGGTATCACAAGGGTGATTACATAAGAGGAAGCCAGGAGGTCAGAGAGGAGAGAAGATGCTATACTGTTGGCTTGATAAGCGCAGCCTTTAGAAGCTGGGAAAAAGCAAGGAAATAGATTCTCAACCAAGACCTCTAGAAGTAACACAGACCATTTTAGACTGCTGACTTCCACAGATCTAGGACAATAAGTTTGTGTTGCTTTCAGCCACTTAGTTTGTGGTAATTTGCTACAGCAGCAATAGGAAACTAATCCATTTGCTTTGGTTTCAGTGTGTATGTGTGTTTAATTATGAGATGCTGACTGCACGATAATAGCTTTGAAGTAAAAAAACCCTTGGTCAAAAGATACTTGGAAAAAGTCTTCTTACTTGAAAAGGGATAAAGTTCTGAATGAATAAGGAGAAGGATCTATTATTCTTGGCTTCATCCTGTCTTGGTTCTGAGAGACTCAACTGATCATTAAATTTTTGGTACTTTTTTCTTATTTTGAACCACTCTCCATCAAAACCAAAATAAAACAAAACAAACAAACAAAAAGAAAGTTCCAAGTACAGGAACATACAGCAATAAGCTAATGTACTTATGTCATTTTTATTTGATTTATCATATCCTAGAGTTTTGCCAAGTTATATAGATGCAGTTTACAGCTTCATATATGGGATATTTTGAAAACAAAAATACCCACAAGTGTTACATAATTCTCCACCATAAATCCATAAAAACTATATTTGATCGCAGTTATAGAGGACTCATGGGAAAGAAAAGGTCTTTTGAATCAGAAGACTGGGGTTTGTATTCCACTGTGCCATTTTTTCCAGTGGCCTCTAATCCTTCCAATATCTTGTGGGAAACCAAATGACAGTTCTTACCAAAGACAGGAAAAGGCAAAGGATGGCTAGGACTAGGGAGCTCTGAATCTTATCTCACAGCTGCTCGAATTGCATCAGTCTCTTTAATTCTCTTACTTTAAATGGTAAATTTTATTTCCGCATTAAGCTCTATCATTTTATTATCCTGTCCTTTGTGAATATACATAGTGACTCCAAATTTCCTTATCCTTTAACCAGTGCCTGCATTTTCAATAAAACCACCTTTACATATGTTCCTATGAGGGGGCTGCATATGGAAGCCTGGCTGGTGGCCAGCTAGGTAGATTAGGCTTGCTTGGGTGTTCCAGAAACACAGTTATTCTTTCTGCAGCCTAAAATGAGAGTTCAATTTCATTTCTTTTGAATGAGACTCCTTAATCTCTTAGTTTGCGTTGTGGGAAATACATTAGGATTTCTGGCTAGAGCTCACTGTTATTTGCTTTTCTGGTCTTTCTAAAACCTAAATTAGAAACTTTAAAGTCATAGAAATATAATCATGGAATGAGTAAGGTTTAAATGTTTGAATACCAAAATGTCCATAAAGTCTTAGCATAAATGCTTAAGAAAAATATTTAAAAGTCCTAAAAGAGAAGGCAATGTTTCAGCAGAAATCGGAGTTCCTTAAAGGTCCATACATCAGCTTTGCTAGTTGTCCTGTCCTCATTGTGAAGTTGAAGGACTTTTTGGGAACCTAAGTGTCTTCTGTGGGGGTGAGGTGGGAGGGCATATTTCTCTGGTATTGGTTCCTGGTGGCTGGAAATTTTCACATTCTGCATCGTTTAGATATAGAGATTCATGGCTTAGCATGTGTCATAGAATAAAGTAATAAATTGTGTATCTCACTTCACTTTGGGAACTCTAAAAAGTATTTTTAAAGATCTTCTAATTTCCCATAGGGTCTTATAATACCTTTCTATGGCTTAGACATATCTTTTATTGATGCAAAGTCACTATACATGGAGGTCTCTCTATGTGCATGTCTCTATGATATTAAGGGCCAGATTTATGAGATCTCAGCATGTGAGTTAGTCACACTTTTGCCTGTGTGCAGTGGAGCATTTGGCTTAGGCTGACTTCTGGGAAAGACCACCCAATCTTTGCTATTGACCTAAGAAGCTGCTACCAATTCCAAGAGGAAAATTCATTAATACCTTAATGAATGAGAGTTGTTTGCATTGCTTGAGAACATGTCAGCTACAAAACCTTTGCCTAATTTGACTCTTACAGAGTCAGTCTGCTTCCATTAGTAATTTGATAAAAAGCTGGAGTCAGTTGGCTCCAGACCAGGTGTCAGCCCACCAGCTCAATGCCACTTTGTGTGGTGTTGCTCTGTTCTGTAAAACAGATGTTATGATTTACTCCAGACATCCTGCATTTCATTAGGGAGTGAAGTAGTCATTTAGTTATCTCATTCACTTAGTTTTCAATGGACCAATCAATGGACTGAACATGTGTGGTCTGTAAATTCTGATCTCATTTTCACCTTTCACTTGAAGGATATGCTTTAGAATGCCGTTACTCCCATTATTCTTAGAATTTTCTCTTCTACACAGTAGGTTTCTGTGCTCTTTATGTTTATAGATGAATGACTCTAAATCTCATTCAAAAGAGACAATGACTCAACATGCAATGGTTTCCAGTTATTGTTATTTTCCTCTTGAAATAATATTGATCTTATAATTCAGAAGCTTGGTTTCATATTTAATAAAGAACTCTGGGTACAGTTAAGGCAATTTTCTCTTAGTGGTTTCCTAATAGTTATAAACTGATCTTAAGACTGTCATGTGTGTACACAATGATTATAGAAGCTGACTGAGTACCATCTCATGAGAGCAGCAAACCAGAAGTTTCCATCTGCCACTTATACAGCATTTCCATCCCTGGGGTTGGCCATAAACATGGCACAGGTAGGTAGGTAAATGAATGAACAGACTTATCCAGACATCCAGTGAGCCATCCATTCAGAGTCTTCTATGTCCCTTGCACTGTGTCTGCTCTACTCTGTCCCACTGGATTACAGTGATTAATAAGCAACAAACTCCATCAGTGATCTCCTACTTTGAATGTTGTGCTTTAGGATAAGTAAACTCTGCTAAAGTCTCTTTGTTCATTATATTTTCCCATACTGTTTTTAGTTTCTCGTGAAATTCTTTGTGCCGTATTTACTTTTGTTTGGACTATTCAGTATCTTTGGTTGAATGAAGTGAACATTCCTTTTTACCTATGATGATTTTAACAAATAACGATTCTTTAATGCTTATTGGTTATAACATTTTAATCTGTACTTTTTAAGAAGGGTGAAGTGGAATAAGATGTGAGAGATCAGTCTTCTTTCTTTTCTTTTGTTTCTTCTTTTAAGTACTTTTCATTCCTTTCTCCAACTCCCTAATTAATATAAATTGGTTCTTTCTTTTCTTTCCTTACTCCTCCAAAGTCAGAAGTGTTAGTACACCGTGGTGTGGTATGGAGTAGACAATTGTGGCGAGCACTAAAGGAGAACGATTTTTAGTCACTTTTTTTCTTCCAACGTGACAAAATGTGTCTTCATTAAACTGAGAATTATGATCAGTTCACAAAATTGCATTAAAGAAAACATGTTTGTAAAAAGTTCTTGTGCAATTACCTTATGCTTCAGAGATTGGAGCAAAATTAATGAATTTTCAAGCATATTTTATATTTCTTCAGGTTTATTTTCTTTATATATTTTTAGCTTTGCTCTATAGACTTAAGTAGTAGTGATGGTTTATTTCTTCATTATATGGTGGTTTTTCTGGGGAAAGGAAAAGGCCTTAATTGGCAATGGCAAATAACCTAGAATTCCTGGAATTATCAACAGTTTGGACAAATGTTATTTTCAGTCCATCTCAATTAAACTTTCCTTTGTGATATTAAACTGTTATGCATTTAAAGAATTTTTACTTTAAGAATTTGTTAAGACTTACCGTAAAAATTATTACACAGGTAAATTAGAATGACTTTAAATGACAAAACATACTAAACTTTGCAGGACCCAAAATATTAAAGTAAGTGTACCATATGTCTGAAAAGTAAATTAAAAAAATCTATCCTAAAGTCATATTAGTGTTCTCTAATAAAATGAGTTATAAGATTTAAATAAAGAAATATATAGTGAAAATTCCCTTTGTTTTAGTTATTCTATTAAGATTTACTGCATTTAACTTTTATGAAAATATAATAAGTATTTTTATGAAGTTTTCTTCATAGCTTAAGTGTCCAAAGGTAGGGGGATGTTTGATAGTTTATCATCATCAAAACCAGAAGGAATCAATCTTTTAATATAATTGCTTAAAATTTTCTGATGTATTCAGAAAAAATTCAGAATTAAATTCAGACTAAAATATCACTTTGTTATTATAATTCATCTAAATTCTGGAGTAGATTTAATTGCATTAATAGAATTAGTTGCAATAGCTGAATGGTAGAATTTCACATGGAGTTATTACTTGTTTCCCTCGTTATGTTTTTCCAGAGATTTTACATTCTATTGATTTTACGCCCCTTTCAATAATGTACACTATGAATTAAATCATTTGTATGCCTGAACATATTTTAGTGATCTGGATTTCTGCTCCAAAGAGAAGAACCCATTTGAGTGATATGCGGCTTTTTGTTTTTCCTTTTCTTTCCTTCTTTTTTCTTTCTTTTTTTAATAGGCCTTTAGTGAGTTTGAGATTGAGCAGCATCAAGAATGTGCTTATGATCACTTGGAAGTATTTGATGGAGAAACGGAAAAATCGCCAATCCTTGGACGACTATGTGGCAACAAGATACCAGAGCCCCTTGTGGCTACTGGCAATAAAATGTTTGTTCGGTTTGTTTCTGATGCATCTGTTCAAAGAAAAGGCTTTCAAGCTACACATTCTACAGGTCAGTAAATTAGGGCCATGCTTCTCTTTTCAAAAGATCCAGGTTTCTCTTCGAGTGAACACAGTGGATTCCATACGGGATAATAAATGAATCTCCAGGTTCAGCAGAAGAAATCTCGCTGAAGCACTGCGTGAAGTATTTCTGTATTCTGATTCTAATGCACTGTGAGAACCATGTAGCAGCCTGCCTAAATATCTTTGTAGTTGTTAAACATTTAGAAAGAAACCTAATACTTCGGTCTAATTCTTGTTCAATGCAGTGTGATCACTTGGAACTGTTTCTAAATATTTGTATAATGTATTTCATATTAACTTTAGCAGTTTGATTAATATGTTGTATTTAACAGACAGAAATCTATAGTTAGGTATTCAAAAAATGTTTTCTCTAACACCTTACCCGGTTTAGCTAGCTTTTGCATTAATATATCTATTTTTGTAAATCAAATTTGAGAATTATCCCTCTGTTTTACCGAGCGTCATTTTCCCCCCCTTTTATTTGGTATGCAACACAATCTTTTCCCTGATCTTGTTCCTTAGTATGACTCTTACATATTTATAGGTATTCTGGAAGTCTTTAAGAAATAAATATAATTTAGAAAAATATGGAAAAATTTCAGCAAAATGTTGAATAACATTTTTTATAATTTTATATTTTAGTAATATGTTCCATAAATATATAGGAAATGTCCTTTTTTTGTTCAGTTTTTTATTTTGTTCAGTTATTTACTAGAGTCATTTGGCTTATGGTGACATCTAGTGGCATTCCCAACGCATAGACTATTAAGCCACTGGAGAGAACATCTTGGTGTCAAACATAGTAGGATAGTCTATGGATTCATCCCTGAAACAATTTTAATGCAGTCATTTTTCTCATGGTTTCCTGCTGATTGCTTTTGTTTTCCTTTTGTTTCATTTTGTTTTAGAAGTCAAAATTTTAATTATTCCATTGCCCAATATTATTTTTCACTCTAGTATATTTTATTATGAACCTTAGCTTCATATTGTGAGAGAGTGGATATTACTTGTTAGGATATTGAGCTGATTCATAGTAGTAATTAATGATTGGACTCGTTAATAATACTCATTAATTATTTTCCATGATTAATATAAGTATTTTGGTTTGAGAAAAACCTTCCTATACCATAGAAATTTCACATTAATGAAGGATTTTCCATACATGTGACATTTACTCTTTAAATATCTTCCTGATAACTAGTCATGTATTGAAGGTGGAAAATTTGGAATCCTATTATTTCATTGATATTTTTCTCATCACAGAGTTCACATGCCATCACAGAGTTCATGGCATATATATGTATATATTTTTTAATATCCTATCACCGGTTCTAAGAATTCAGTGTGAAAATATGCGGTCAAAACTCCTGAGGCCGGCCCGGGGCCTAGTGGTTAAGTGCTTGAGCAGCCCAGGGTTTCGCCGGTTCAGATCCTGGGCGCAGACATGGCACCACTCATCAGGCCATGTTGAGGTGGTGTCCCACACAGCACAACCATAGGTGCACACAACTAGAATATACAACTATGTACTGTGGGGGCTTTGGAGAGAAGAAGAAGAGAAAAAAAGGAGAATGACAAAGATGTTAGCTCAGGTGCCAATCAAAAAAAAAAAAAGGAAAGAAAAAAAAAACCTCTTGAAATAGTTGATGCTCTAGTATTTAAAATTATCTATATATAAATTATCCATTTTTAGTGTAATAAAAATTTCCTTTTATGGGAAAAAAGCTTCTCTTTTTACCCTTCATGAGTGGAAGGATTAAGATTATATTATGATCCATTGTGTTGGTACATCTGTGTTTTTGATCCAACTGTGCCATTACCTTTGAAAAAGATAATTTCTTTGGGTCTCAGTTTCTTCCTCTGTGAAATAATAACCTCAAGGCTTCTTACAGCTGTAAAACTCCATGACTCCTTAATTTGCATGGCTTCTGCTCATGGACCCTATTTGCAGTGTTTATATTACCATGAAGAATCCATTGGTTGGATCTAATTATACTATAAAAGACCTCCAATGGTATATATAGCATACACTTAATTTTAGGCACACGTATACTTTATATACACTTTACAAACATTGAATGTTCAAAAGAACTGTATGATGAAGGTGTTAGTGTCTTCATTTTCCAAATAAAGAAATTGAAAATCTAGATAATTAGTTAATTTACAAAGACTTCCAAAATTATGTCAAAGCCTAGATTTTATCCTAATTCTGTCTGCAAGGCTCATGTACTCTTGTACACCTTCCACGATAGTATATTTTCTCTTAATGTACCAATTTTGGATTAGGAAGAAAACCAATACAAAACTAGGTCACTGTTATTTGAAGCAATAGATAGAGACTGAATGCTTCCTTAGATAAGTTTTGAACAAATCCTCTGTTCAAAGTGTCTAACTGACTAGGCTAATTTTATTTCCCTATTAAGGTCACCTCCATTCAAATACCCTCATGAGCAACCTCAGTGCAATTTTGTCATGCAAAATGTGCCGTGATATTGTTTAATCCAGCTCTATCATCTCAAAAATGAGGATTCTGAGACTAAAACTTAAATAACGACCAAAGTAGCACAAAAAATAACAGTTGGAATTAGAATCCTGGCTTCCCAACTCTTGCTCATTTGTTCTTGTCAAAAGTTTTGGCATTATCTGTTTGTTTGTGGGGTTTTTTCTCTTCATGTATAAATTTTTGCCATCACTTAACCAACTGTCTTAGAATTTTGGGGTAAATTTATTTCTTACTGTTACTTTCTAGTAGCCATACATGCTGAAATATTCTTATGAACTGCCTACTACTTATTTCTCCTCAAAACTTTCTCCTTATCAAGTTTATTCCATAGTCTTTCATCAGATATTTATTTGGCATGTGCTTTGGATAGATACTATAAGGCATTAGCAATTTCTAGGGAAAAATTATGAATTTGTGGGAATTTATGGGAAAATAGAAGAAATTCCTGCCTGTGGACAGCTTAACGGTCTGATAAGTTAAACTTCTGATTTTCAGAAGTTTTTTAAGTTCCAATTTTCAGTTTCTACTGACAAGATAGCCAAGTCCAGTGCCACATCTGTCAACTTTTGCTACATTTATAAATTGCTGATGCATTATTTACTGCTTTCTAGAATACACGTGGCTATTATTGATGGGCCCTGAAGTAAACATTTTAATTTGCTTCAGTAAATTTATATTTCTATATACAATTTTAATTTTATAATACAGAATTTATAATTCCGTATATAATTTTAAAAGTTTCCAACATAATGAATTTTGAAACCAGGTGATTATGGCTACTTTTTCATAAGTAATACTGTCCAAATCCATGGGGAAAGGACTTTATTGGAGAGAGGCCTTTTTTCCCCTGACAGTAGATCCAAATTCATGGAGATCCAAATTTATTTCACTCAGGTAATGAATGGTATTCCTCCAGCCTTAAATAAACTAATTGAAGGAAGCAAATCTTTCAGCTAAAAATATACCCTGTGTATTCACTTAGAGGATACAGCTAAAATACAGAAGAAGAGATGAAACGTGGATAGAAAATAATATTTAAAAACATGGCATTTTCTGGTAAAACTTCTTTTCTGCAGCATAAAGCATCACACTATCTGTCAATGATGTTTAAAAAGCAAATAATGTATTATTAAGCTCCTTAGAAAGGAAATTATTTTGATCTAACTCAATTAAATTAGAATGCCCACTAAAAGCATTTATGGGTCAAATTACAGGACCTTTCCGAGAACTTAACACATTACCAGGAAATAAACAAATGTGTCTTTCCAAATTAAAATGAAGGCAACCCCCGGGCTTCTCTTCCCTTCTTGTTACCTTTCATATTCAGCTTCATTTTCCATTTCCCAGAATTCTGTAGAAGATGCTCCAGTGAGGTATTTCCAACAGTTGACTTAAAAATGATACGCTGACGTGCTGAACTGCTGCTTTTATATTTTCCTGACTTGGTAAATGAATAGGGATATTTGCAGGAAATGCATTTACTCAATTTAAAAATTTTATTTTAAAGGGACCATGTTAAATGATATATTGAACCATATTTTGAAGAATAGCCACTAGAATTCTCAAAAATACTCATAAACCCTTGCCCTCATGCTGCCTATTATTTTCTGCTCATGAAATTTCTCTGAGGGTATATTAAAATGACACCTCTTGTGCATATAATATTCAAATGTTCATCCTGAAAATATTTATCCTGCAGAGTAAATTCTCTCTTTTTTTTCCCACAGTTGGAAAATTAATTCCAGATTTATCAGTTTGAGCAGTGACCCATAGGAATGCAGTTATGCACTGAAACAGATCAACGAAAACAGGGGAACTTTTTGAAACATTTTAAGTCATCCTTAAACGTAATTTAAGTCATTTGTTTTTGAACGTATGTCATTTTCTAGAAGCCTTCACTAAAATTGAATAATGTTGCCTTACTGTCCTTTCAGATTCACAAACACTTTGTGAAATCTCTTTTCCCATTTTGTTCACTACTTCATTTCCTCCCTGATTTTTGTTCCAAGCTGGGCTGGCAGAGAATTGTCTCTTCTGGCTCCTGGTCTTTGTTTGGCTACTTTGTCTGTGCAAAGCAGGCACACAGAAGCCTATGCCTCTTCCCTATCGCACAGTCCACCCCGCTGCAGCCTTTTCTGGGCTGTGAAAGAAAAGTCATACAAGCACCGACAGTTTTTCAAAAGCTGAAAAGAAAAAAGATCTGTCAATTATGTCAAACTTTGAGAATAGGTAGAACTTCTAAAAATCTGTAAGTGGGACTGCACTGGTTTATATATTTGTATATTGAATTCAGAAATATTTTTCACAAAATATTTTCTTGGCCTTCAAAAAAGAAATTTTTTCCCTTCTGATAGCGGATTAATAGTGTTTTAAATTGTTTTTCAGTTTTTCTGGCTTTTCATTTCATACTTGAGTGGATCCCCAGAAGTACAGATGATGGTATTTAGATAGTCTCTTTGGAAAATAATAACAGTAATGATAGTTTACACTTATATGGTTTTTCCTATGTGCCAGGCACCTTTCAAGCATTTACATATATTAACCCATTCACTCTACATCTAGACCCTATGATGTGAGTATTATGTGTGATTCCCATTTTAGAAGTGAAGTGTAGAACAAAGTCCCACAGCTGATGAAGGGCAGAGCTCAAATTTGGACCCAGGCAGTTTGGCTGAGTTGTTGAGTCACAGGGAGAAGACAGAAATTCATGGAGTTAGTGAAATAAGAGAAGCATTATGGTGGAAAAAGGAAGATGCTTGGCTTCCAGTCTGCAGGACTCAAGAGACGATATCCCAGACTGATTGGTATCCAGCCTTCCATGGTGGTTCCAGCACATGTGTATCTTCGAAATTTGCATTTGCAATAGTGGCACCTCTATCACTAGATTGTGCAAGATGCCACACCTACATCTAGAAGACAGAGCGACCTTTAGATTCATCATGTAACACAGCCCCGTGGGGAAGCCATTCTCATGACCAGAACCCTAGTGGGAAATTCTTTCATACGTTAGTCACACAAAGGTCTCTGAATGTGCAGTTGTCTGTGACTATGTGCATAGGGTTTGTTGAGCCCACGAATTCAGAGATATCTGAATGGAGTTCCATATCTGGGAATTCAGAAATATTTAGTTATTTAAAATCGCCAAACCACAGTGTGGGTAAACCACATACAAATCTGAAAAATCCAAGTAAGAATTTAGCTCCTAATCCATCTTTACAGGGTGCTGCCAAGGCCTGTCTGCTCCCAAACGACCACGAGAGTGTTACAGTCGTGTTTTGATATTCGGTGCCTTAGTTTGTCCAGATCTTTCCACAGTGAATTTTTGTCCCTTCCTAATCATCCCAGTTTTCCTGAGACTTTCCTGGTTTTAGTACTGAAATTACTACTTCCCAGAACCTCTCAGTCCTTCACAAACAGGGACAGAAAGAAACTCTACTTTCTCCTAATACTTTTCGTTCTTTACTCTATTCTTTGTTGCCTCCCACTCCCAGCCACACGTTTGCATGTGTGTTGGACTTCTGCCGCCTTTATTTAATCTCTAGTTATTATAAAGTTTTGGGGCTCTAACTGCAAAGAGTTCCTGAGCAAATTTTTTGGAAACTTTTATTCTTTAAATTACACTAACTTTAAATTTTTATGCACACTCATTTATTTATCTGTCATATTTACCTCTAGTGACATAGGCAGTAACTGGTGGAGCATACGTTTATTGATATTTCTCTGAAAAACAAGCTGTAAAAAGAGCATTTAAAATTTTTTATTTATTACGAAAACAAAATATAACTGAATAGGTCCTGGAACTGTAAAGGTAACTATAATTAATGATGTGTCTATGTTTTTCCTAACCAAGTTAGATAAATATTCTACCTAAGTAAAGTAATACTATTTTATATATTCTATATAGAGAATTCTAGATAATGCAAACACACACACAGGGGTTTTATATATATTTTTGGTTTTAAAGTTATTGCTTTGGATTCTAGGCTCTTAAATTATTAAGATTAAACTCAGTTTAAGACATTGAATTTTTCTCCATGAAGATAGTTATTTGGGACTAAAAACAATAAGAGGAATAACAATTAAAATTATTTATTGAGAGTTATTATATGGCAGGCACTGTTTTAAGTGATTTTCATATATTGATTAAATCCTCAAAACCCACTGAGATTGGTACTATTATTGTCATCTGCATTTTACCCTTGAGAAAACTATGGATCAGAGAAGTGATGACACTCATCCAAAGTCGCTGAGCTAGTAGGTGTTGGAGCTGAGATTCCAACCCTGCAGTGTGTCCAGGGCCTGTGCCAGTATCCATTACACCATCTGACTCAGCAATTATGGTAAACATACCTGATGATAGCAATGAATACAGAAGTTAGAGAATGGTTAAACTCCACTGAAATTGAAATTGCACCTGTTAAGCCTTATCGAGCTTACTTCTTTCATTTTTCTTTCCTGGGCAGAGTGTGGTGGCCGACTGAAAGCAGAATCAAAACCCAGAGATCTGTACTCACATGCTCAGTTTGGTGATAACAACTACCCAGGACAAATCGACTGTGAATGGCTGCTAGTGTCAGAACGGGGCTCTCGACTCGAGTTATCCTTCCAGATTTTTGAAGTGGAAGAAGAAGCTGACTGTGGCTATGACTATGTTGAGCTCTTTGACGGTCTCGATTCAACAGCAGTGGGCCTTGGTCGATTCTGTGGATCGGGGGTAAATACAATACCAACAGGATAAAATAGACATGATAGAAAAAATGCCTATTGATTTGTGATTGATATGTGTAACATATACAGATTGGCAATGTTTTTACAAAAAAGTTACCTGGTATTATTAATAACTTGACAAATTACAACATGCTACTTCTTCCCTTACCGTTTCTCCATCTCTAGTCAATTTGCTCGATAATGTCAAACAAAACAGATGAATTCAGTAGTTATAATTTCTTATTACTGTCCACCTTCTAACTTTTTTATTCACATTTTTATTGTGCAATGTCTTTAAATATTTAATAATATAACTTAATATAATAATAAAATATATATATATATAATATAACTTACACATCTTTGGCAATGTTATCACCTTCCTAAAAGAATATGCACTCTCTTCGCATTGACATTCCCTTCTCAACAAATATACTTGGTGAGAGTGGCAGGGTCTACCACTGGTGTGTGGGCTCAGCCAGCGCTGCAGGAATGTTGTTCTATTGCAGTGTGCCACTTGCAAATGGGACAGAGTTCCAGATACAGGTTAAAGTGTGCCACCCTGAGAAATAAGAAAAAGCTTAAGGCTTTCTCAATGCGTTACTTCCCGAGACTCACTGCGTTAATATCAAATGGTCTTCTCAGTACACATTTTGTTTTGAAGACATTAGTCCCATTTGCTTGAATGTCTACCAGGATCTCTTGCTTAAATAATACTATTGAACTCCCATGCAAATAGCAACTGAAATAAAACAAAACAAAATAAAACCTTCGTACTTAATTTATTAAAACAAGAAGGAATGAACAATTTGGATTCTGGAAGTGGCTCTGCCTCTGAACAGCTTCTGAACAAACTTAATATCTCTTTATCCTTTGTGAACCCCACTTTATTTATTTGTAAATCAAAGGAACTTGGCTTAAAACTTTAGGAGAAAACACCAAGTTCCAGAACTTGGAAACAGATTTAAGTATGTTTAAAGGCAAGCCACTTCACTGCCTCGCCATGTGAGCTTGAGCATGTCATTTACGTCTGTGAAACTCAAGTTTTCTCATCTGTAAAATGAAGTCACTCATAGCCACTTTTCAAGGTTGTTGGGAGGATTAAATTATATACCGCTCCCCCCCCCCAAATTCCCAAACATGAATTACAGTGAAGAAAAAGTGACTTATGCTCTTGTTTATTTGCTTGTTTTTTGTTTTATCTTCAGCCACCAGAAGAGATCTATTCAATTGGGGACACAGTTTTAATTCAGTTTCACACTGATGACACAATCAACAAGAAAGGATTTCATATAAGATACAAAAGCATTAGATATCCAGATACCACACATACCAAAAAATAACATCAAAACCTCTGTCGGAACATAAAGGAATATGCATAATGGAGAGAAGACGTATTTTTTTTTTAAATGAAGATATTAGCACAAATGTTTTATATAATGAGTTTGAACAGAAGAAACTATAAGACCAGAAGTATCTCTGTACTAAAAGAGAAGTTTCCAGCTAACTGATCAGCAGTACCAGGATATTTGAACTCGTGTTTGACAGTATAAATAAAGCTGGTAAAAGGGCATCACAAGCTTCAAGGAAGACTCCACAAGCTTTTGATCCCAGCTTGACATAGATGCCTCACAATTGAGACAGTTCAGCTCAGGGTCTGTGACCCTGCAGAGTGTTCTTTTTGACAATTTTTCAAGATCTGGGAGAAAGAAAATGATCTTGCAAGTCATAAACTGGAAAACCCTCTCCTTATATCTTGGGATAATTGCTTTGGCTCAGTAACTTGGATACAATGTAAACCAGATCCATATAAGATGTTGTGAAATGAGTGTCTTTTGAGGATGGTTAGTACTTTAAATGTGATTGTGTCCAATGTTTGGAAACTGGAATATTTCAGCTTCATTATTTTCACTTGCAGGCCAGATTAACCTCTTTGAAACACAAATGATCTTGAGACCACTTCATTTTACTGACATTTTGACAAGTTTGAAATGTCAGCGTGTCTATTATTGCAGTTAAACTCTTGACATCATTTATTTAAGTGCTGGAAAATGCCCAGTTGATTGGTAAACTCAGTTCTTTCTGTGGAAGTGCTGCCTTTTCACACCAAATCCAAGAAGCCTTGTGATGTCTTATGAACTTTATGGGAAAACTCCCAACAGGTGTGAACAGGATTCTTCTAAGTGACTGCCTGGATGGTTCATACTCAAGTTATCACTGCTGCTATTGTCTTTCTTTTATTGTTGATCTGTTGTAGTTGTTATTGTTGATGTTGTCATGGTTTAATGTTGTATTTAAAAAAAATGAGATGAAATGAAGTGGAAGTAGGCCTTGTAAGAATTGAAAGACCTCTTTTCTTTTTTTTCTCTTCCTGGGATTCAGTTAAAAAAAAATGTAATGTAGAAAAACAGGATTTGTGTCTGAAAGACTTTCTATGGTGCTATTCCATTAACATTTTTTTTAAACAAAGTTTTTGACCTTTGAGCCAACCACCTGTAGACTATGAATGTCTCCTTATGTCTGGCTGGTGGCATTTGAAGACTAAAGACTTGTTAAATGTATCAAGAGTATATCAAGGGCAGCACTTGTCCTGTGGAACAACTACTTATAATGCCTTAGAATTCTTGCACATGATCAAACAGATCCTCCTAGAGACATACCTTTGGAAATGCTGAACCTAATAGTGTATGTTAATTAGCAGCCCTATGACGAAAATCCATTTTCATGACTGAGAACATTGGGTATAAATATGATGACCTGCTTTTGTTGTAGAAAATGAATATTCTGCTTTAAAGCCACGTGTGTTTTTAATATTAATGTATGTATATGAGAGATTGTCTGAGTGAGTGAAGCTACAAGAAGGTGAAAAGTAGTGGGTGGTTGAAAAGTTAAAATTTATGTGCCAAGTTCTACTAGAATCCTGTTTGAAGTAGCACCTTTCTAGGAAGTTTTATGGACAAATAATGGGAACTTCTAATTATTATTAACCCCATTCAAAAGGCTCTTTCCTTTAGAGAAACTCTATTTTGATATTTTTTGATGATGCAGATTGCTGTATGAAGTAGCTTTGTTTCTGTGGCCTGTCCATGAGCATCCAACGTTTAACAAAATGGGGTATTTTTCTTCATTTTTACAAAATTAACCTATGCACACAGATGTTGCGTATTTGTTTCTTTTGTCCTTGTTCCCCCGAAAAATCTTTTCTTGCATATTAATTATTAATATGTAAATACATTTTCAAAACCATTATTTTGATCTTATTGAATGTTACTTTGGAAATGCATAACTATTGCCTGCAATATAATGAGCTTTTTAGTGGAGCTGATTTATTCCAGTAACAATTTCTATATTTTTTCACTAATCTCCAATTAGCCAAAATATATCAGGAATGGGAAAGAGAGGAGAAAAACCATTAACACCTGGTATACTACATTATGCCTAGCCCAGGACTAGGCACATGCACTCGCTCTTTTTAAACTTTATGCTACCCTTTGAGAACTGTGGTGAGGTTCTCATTTTGTAGTTCAGGAAGTGAGGCTCCAAGAAGGTATGGAATGTTCCCAGGGTCACAGTGTAAAGTTAGATGTTGAAACCCAGCTCGTCTGATATCAAAATCTGTGCTTGTTCTACAAAATGTAGTTGAATCAATCTTGACATATATAAGTAGTAGCTATTTTTTTATGATGAACCTTTTCCACATAAAATAAATTTTAGGGGTGAATTACAGTCAAACTTTCAGCATAAACATATTGTTCCTTTAAGGAGCAGCATGACAAGTCAAATATGAACTGTAGATACCTTTAAGAACCACAATTAGTACTAGAAATTAAAAAACAAAAAACTACTCTCTAGTTCGGTGTTAGTAACCACAGGCCTTTGTTGAAATAAATGTGTTAAATTATTTTATCCGGCGTGCTACGGGAAATGTTGTGTGCTTTTAGAAATCCTCTGGGTATTTTGGTTGACATCTTATTAGGCCACAAAGAGCTGTGTTCAACACAACCGAGAACTTAAAGTAAAAGGGTATTTAGAAGGCAGTAGAGGTGTTGTCATAACTTTAGGTCCTCAATGTGAACATTAATTTTTATTGTATCTTATGTCAGATATTGGTTCACTGCACATTATTTTTATATTAATTCAACTTTGGCTGAAATGTGTTGTTAAATGCAAATACGGATACTTTGTTGTTATTTTGTTAATAATTGTTAGTTACTGTTTTAGGCATTTTATTAAATTAATTTTGTAAATTATTTTCAACCCCTACGTCAGTATATTGGTTGTGTTCTGTATTTGCCAAAGTTCTAACTCCTATACAATCTTCACTGACTCTACACACAAGAAACTGCTCCCACTTAATATGGTTTTATTAAATTATTTTTAAAAATCAATTTTGAATGTCAATCTAGTTTATTAAGGAGGTCATGACTTAATGTAACTGCACAAAACAGCATTTTTAAAGAAATGTATGAGAAACAGCAATTATATTTCCAAAGTCCCCAAATGTCCCCTGCCTGTATTGGATGGATTTTTACTGTCTAGGACTAAGTTTAATATGCCACAGTATCAGATTCAAATTCTGTCCAATTTTGTTTTTAAATATCTTAGTCTCTTTATTTGGTTTCTATTACACTGTATTTTTGATAGTAAGCCTCAAATATGAAATTTTATTCTCCCATATAGAGAATCTGAAAGCATCTGATGATTAATTCTTATTCTTCATAAGGGTAAAAGTTATTTTTTAAAAGAAACGTTAAATTACATACTTGCTTAGATTTAGTAACTATAGCCATATGTGGCATTAAAAATAACTTTTCCTTAACTATCAAAATGTTTGGAAATTTTATTTAGTGGTAATGGGAATAAGACTTGCTTTGGAAAACCTGTAATACCATTTGTTAAATCTGGCATGGAAGGAGGAAAACAGGAATAATAATTACCTCCTGAAGATTTATAACTTGAATTGCAATAATGCCTTCTATTTTATAAGAAAAATATGTAGTGTACAAGTTTATCAAAAAGAAGAAAAGAGCTGGTTTGTGAATGGATTCAAAGTTTTTATGCTTCAATGCATAGTAAATGGTTGCCAATGATTATTTAGCTTTTAATCTTTTAGAGTTATTGCTATAAAATTGAGAAATTGAGAAATTTTGTCATTAGCTTAGGAAATGATTGATGGAAAGACTGACTCTGACACATTGTGAGATACAATTATTTGTCTCCCTGCTTTCTTTGGGCATCTGCTTTTTTCATTGTCCAGCCTTCAATCTGCTTGCCTTTCACTCACCCTCAGTATATTCAACCTGAATCCAGGCTCACCTTGTGACTCCAGTCCACACCATGACATCGACCTGGGGCACGCACTGATGCAGGATGATTCCAAAGAAATTATAGGGCCCTGAGTGTGTCTCACTATATATTACCTCCCTCTCATCCAATATTTTAAATAAAAAATTAATACAGTAAATATCAACTCCTAACTTTAGAGGACTTGTTGGTGGAAATGTATTTGGGTTAAAGCAAATGAAAAGAGAAGGCCTGAGAAGCCAATATGCAGCCAAAGATGTGTAGATAAAAGGTCCAGGCAGCCAAGAATTATCTTGCCTTTGCCGCCAGAGTGGAAATATTGAGTAAATAATGAAATTACTTGTGTTATGTGCCTTTTCTATATGAATACAAGCTAAGGGTTTCACCAATCCCTCTGCCCTTACCCTGCTCTGCCTATCTGTATTGTCCATATAGCTGGAAAATTACTTACAGAGCATTTCATTTCTGCTGAACTATCAAATTTGTAGTGTATACTTGCATCTGAAATAAAAATAGCAACTAAGGTTACTCAAACTAATTTATAATATTTTCACACATGCTCAATGCTTCAGTATATTTGCAAATTATATTTTAAAAAAACATATCCAACATTGCTGCATCTATTAGATGATATCAGAAGGTGATATTAGTCACAATATTTAACTGCACAACAAACCCAAGAACTGAAAAATCTCATGTCAATCAAAAGCTCTATTAGGAAATTTTAGAGAGTTAACTATGGAAATTTAGTAAAAAATATAATTTTCAATCAAAACGTACAACTGCATCTATATTCTCTCAAGATATTTTAAAGCTGGAATCAGTGACTCAGAAAATGATAGCTGGCTGCTAAAATAGTGGTGATAGGGTACAGGTGGTGGGGAGGGGTTCATTTCAAAGAATGCCATTAAAATTATTTAAACAGGAAGATTGCCCCCAAAAGACAAAAAAAGTGAAAAGATTAAAGATAATAAGGCTTAAATATGTAAACCTACCCTAAAAGAATATTTAGTGGACATTCCTTAGAGGGCTATAATTAAAAATTAAAATAAATTGCAGGAAAATTTTCCACAGGGATCTAATAAATTTGTTCAAATCCGTTTACACAACAGAATGTCTGTTAGTTGTGTTTGAATTTCCTGAGAATAAAGGGTCCCTCATAATAAGTTTTGTCATTTTCAAACCAAAAGAGAAAGTAAAACCATGTAGTTTATTCACTCTATTTGTTTATTTATCAAATATTTGCTTAATGCCTACTAATATGCCAAGCACTATGCTAAGTATTAAGAATTTAATAAGTGAAAAAAATCACAATCTTTGCTCTCATAAAGGTTAAATTCTAGTTGGAGAGTTAAATATTAATTAAACCAATCACAAAAAGTCATAATTGCAATATAAAACATGCACATGTGTATTTTATTACCGTTTAGGGGCATTATTCCAAATGGCGTGGTTTGTATTTTGAGGAAAGCATTAACAGAGGCATCCTTTCCTTATCCTTGGTTTTTCACTGTCTTCCTACTTGCATTTGTGTTTCTTACAATTTCAGTTGTACTATAAATTGACTTTTTTTTGCATTAATCACTTGTATTTTCAACTTATAAATATTAATTATTCGTTCTCAAGATGGGTAGTGGGAGTGGTATAGCATATCAAAATTCTGATATTTATTCATATAATTATTTAACAAATAAATCTAGACAATATAATTTATGAAAAGCACTACCTAATACCAGCACCAGTAGTGCTCGAGAAATTCTAATTCTAGTTAGGATGTACATTAAGATACTTGAAACCTATAATCTTCAATCAATGCTGACCTAACTGGTGGAAAAGGGAAGCTTTGCACTTGTAGCGTGACTTGTGGGACAGGGAAATGCCTCACTGCTTTGCTATTTGGTTCCCTCCCTCTCCAAGACAGCAACTATTTTTCAAATATTGGTAATGTCCCTTGGATACCTAGCCCTTCTGAGAGCATACTCATATTAAAAAGCTCTCTAGAAGCAAAAACTGGTCCCCAGGCAATGTAGTTTCTCCACAGGAAATGCTTCACAGAAAATGATGTCACAATAAAAAATTATAAAATGTTCAGGTAAGAGTAATCCAAGATGACAAGTAGCTGAATTAGACTCTAGATATTTAGATACTGGAATTATCCTATGTAGAGTAAAATTATTAAAGAAAGGAAAGAAAAAATAGGTGGAAAAGGTATAGATACTATCAAAATACTGAGCAGATTTTTAAAAAGAATTGAATTCGTAGAAATGAAAAAAGAATACAGTAATTGAAATTTAAAATTCAGGTTAGATATAGCTGATAATATAAATAATCAACTGGGAGAGTTTAAGAATCACACAGATGTAGCAGAGACAGAGATGAAAAAATATATTTTAAGAGAAGTGAAATAGAATGTTAATGTTTAATGCATGTTATTAGGAATTAAAGAAGAGAATATAGAAAATGAAATATTCAATAGATAGTTTCTGACATTCCATAGAACTTTTGGAAGACCTGTATCCTCACATTCAGGAAACACAATAAGTTTCTAAATGAAATAAATAAAAAGAAAGCTACACCCATACACATAGTACTGAAATTGCATAACAAAGCTAAAGAGAAACATCTTAATTGTCAACCTAAATTTTTACACCCTGTTAAACTACTATTTACAAATGGAAACTAAATTAAGTCAATTTCAGATTAGTAAAAACTGAGAGTTTACCACTAACAGATATTCATTGTAAAAACATCTAAGAGATTTTCTTCTGGAAGAAAAATGAAAACAACAGTAAGTGATAAACAAGAAGGAATAGTTATCAAAGAATTGGTAATTATGTTCCAATTTTAAAGATATTAATACTATTAAAAATAATGACTCATTTGAGAAGAAAGCAGAATTAAATATAAGACAATAATAATATGTAAAACTCAAGATAGATAAAGTTGAGGGGTTCTAAGTTCCTTACAGTGTTTGAGAAGAGGATTAACTTCATATTTTGTTAAATGTACGTGGTAATGTTATAAGGGTAACCACGAATAGGAGCAGGATATATAACTTCTAACCAATATAAGTAGGTTATATAACATCTAACCATGGTAAAAACAATAATATGTAATATTTAAATTTTAAAACATATATCTGCCAACTATTTTTCTAAATGTCTGACATATTAACTCATTTAATTCTAATAACAACTATGAGTTATATTGTCTCCATTTTATGAGTGAGGAAATAAAACAAATATACTGTTAATCACAATAAATTTAAGTGCACTAAAATTTCCAACTTAAGGAAAGATATAGTCAGATTGGATTAAGAATTCATCTATAAGCTTGTAGAAAGGATTATAAAACATAGTACCAGAAAAGTTGAAAATAAAAAAGTCACATCAGGTAAATTCTAAACTAAAGATAGCTGATTTTTCTATAGTAATATTTAATAAAAGAAATCTTAAGGCATGAAAGGTCATTTGGGATAAAATGAGTGACTCCACAATGATAGAAATGAAAGATGAAATAATACATTATTCTTTCACCAATGAAAAAATAATACATTAAAATTTTTTAAATGTGCATTTGGATGAATGTAAGAGCAGAGCTTCAAAATATATAAAATTGCCAAAATCATTAAAGAATGTAATCTATGATGATAAGTGAGAATGCTAGGGTCTTAGTAAGAGAGCTATTAAAATATAAGATATTTGCAATCTATATATCTGATGAAGGCTTAGAACCCAGATTATATATAGCAATCTTAAAATTCAATAAGGTACAAACAGCCCAATAGATCAGGAGCTGGCAAACTATATCTTGTGGGGCAAATTCAGCTCGCTGCCTGTTTGTGTACAGCCATGAGCTAAGAACGATATACAAAAAACACTGTTAGCCTTTCGGCAAGAACAGTTAAAGAGTTGAGGACATTATGATATGATTTGTTCCTTTACAGAAAAAGATAGCCAACCCACGCATTAGGTAAATGTGCAAAGGATATGTATAGGCAATTAATAGAAGAGGAAATCAGAATGGCCAATGTACAGATGAACACGTTTGACATTGCTATTACTTGGAAAATCAGGAGTTTGCT